CATTAATATATATAAGTATGGGCCAAGGTGTTTTGGTTCAACCTTCACATACTCAAGCAGTGGATCTTGCAGTCTTCTAGCAATAGCAACTACAAAAAAGGAAAATGTTCAAATCAGTATATGCAAAAAGAAATGAAAATAAAAAAGGAAGATAATGTAAAAACATATATAAAAAAAACAAGAGCCACATATTTGTAATTGAATATATGTCATCTAATTTAGAAAAATTAATGAATTAATCATTTTTGTGATTCCCTTTTTTTTTTCGGAAATGAGCTCCAAAAGTATCAGGTTTTTTATTTCTGTTTTTGATAAAAAAAGTAATATACTGTACCTCTCAGTTGCAGCATAAGACTCTGGATGAATTACAGTTGCATCCAGAGGGTTTGGTTCACATGTAACATCTAACTTAGATTTCTTGTTACCTTTCTTTGCCCCACCTGCAAGTTTTCTTTTGTTTGACGTGCCAACAGTTGCAAACAATCTGAAACAAGCACATATACAAGTTTTAAAACTGAAACTTTAGTGAAATTTGTAAGCTGTTAACATAATTTTAATTTAAAAAAAATCACTAACTAAAACTAATCGGTATTAGAAGAGAAATCATATTCTATTTTTACCCACTTTTCTGTTCGGTGGAGCTCAAATTGGCCATTTTTTTGCCACCATACTTCCATGCTGCTAATCCAGTATATATATTTTAAAATTGAATACTTTATATTAGAAAAGAACACACTATTTTCATCTATATCAAATTCATTCTTAACCCAATTTCTTTGTAAAATACCATACATGTAGCTTACTCAGGTTCTTCCTTCTTACAGGAATCTATTGATGTTTGAGACATGATCTTAACAAAGCCTGCACACTGTTCAAATGACTTGGGACCAAGACCTTTCACCAGTGTTAACTGCTGCCGGTTCTGGAAAGGTCCGTTTTTCTCCCGCCACTCTATAATGTTACGAGCTTTGGATGCTGATAAACCTGAAACTTTTCTAAGATAAACAAAGACAAACATTCTTAATTTCTTAAGAACTGGTACGTCAAGTATAAATGTACAATTTATCAAGTTATACACACAGTATGATATCATCATAATAAAGTATAAAATTGGTGGAGATTTGTTACTTTGATTATACTTAAAAACAACATAAAATTAAGTTTTAGACAACTCCTACCTCAAAACTATTTCAGTGCAGGTATTTATATCAACTCCCACAAAGCTGACACATTCTACTACAACTTCATCCAGTGCTGACTTAAGCAAGGCTTCTGTAATGTCATGCTGTGGATGTAACAGAAGCGTATAAGAAAACAGATTGCATCCTTGCTTTTTTTGCAAACAAAACACCCTCTTGAGACAAAAGTTTCAACTCTCATCTTGACACATTACTTCAGGTGAGAAGAGCAAAATAAACTTTTTATAATTTTGTTATTTCTTGGTAACATTTTTTGATTTAGGTTTTGGAATTTTTAGAGCAAAATATACATAATTCGCTTTTTTTTACAAAAATCACTTTTTCTGAAAACTCGTTTTCTGTAAATTAAAAAAATTTTGTGTGAATTGTATATTAGCCAATGTACATTTTACTTGACTTTCAAAATACAATTCTTAATAATGAATGTATGTACGTTTTTGATATAACACAAGTAACTATGACCTCAAGAAGGAGACACCCACACGCATCTATGCTGTCACTGTATTAAACAGATGTGTCAAAAAATGTAGCTGTTTTTTGTGTTTTTGTTATGAAAATATTTTTGTCTGTTTATAAATAATTTTAAGGAACAGAGGGAGGGGGAATGGACTCTGATCCATTAAAAATTTACAAACATGGATAAGGGGAATGCATTATGATAATCAACAATGCTTTGGCTAAACTCATTTTAAAAACATGAAAAGGATTTTTTAAAGTAAATTCTGGTAATTCTACTTCAAATTTAACTACAATGAAATTTAACCAACATCATAATTTAAAATTAATTTGGTTACATTCGAGAATCCTAACAGCATTATACATTCTGATCTAGTTCAATAAACTCGAGGGTTATTACAAAATTAAGAAATCTTAACATAGTTAAAAATATAATCAAACCAACTTGCGCAAAATGTTTAAAATTTAACGCAGAAGTAACGTTTAAAAACACAATAATAACTTTATTTGGCTGATGGCCAACATTAAATAACTACATGCTTTGGTAGCTTCATGACGTTCTCACCAGAAGTAAATACACACGTGACAAGCAGGTACTTTTACAGAGAAAAGGTTTAATTCATTGTAAACTTTAAGGTCGGTATGAATATTATACATAAGAAATCAATATTTTTTTCCACAGCTGTGCATTGGAACCAGCTAATCCTTCATCTCTATTTAGCAATTAATTATCTAACTTACGACACAAAACTTCTATCGATTCTCTTATATTAAATTTACCATGAGTTTTAGGTCAACTTAAAAACTGTTGTTTCATGCTATTGTTTCAAATGACCTGTTTTGACAGTTGATTCAGCATATGGAGATATTAGTATCTTTTCATGTTCTTTACGACAATATTTTAAGTTATGTTAAGTTTGACCAATATATTTTTCAAAGGTACATATGAAATGTCTGTTTTCACTCCTGATGACGGCAGCGTAAAGCTACAAAAATGTTTAATCTTTTAATATCGGCTGTCAGCCAAATAACGTAGTCATTGTGATTTTGAACATTGTTCTGAATATTAATTTTAACCTCGACAAAGTCTAGTATTAGTCTACTCCAATGAGCACTTTAAAACCTGATGTCTAACACTTACAAACCTGATATTGGCCAATCCAAAGATGCTTAACACTCTACTAACCTGATATTGGCCAATCCAAAGATGCTTAACACTCTTCAAACCTGATATTGGCCAATCCAAAGATGCTTAACACTCTTCAAACCTGATATTGGCCAATCCACCTTTCTTAAAGGTTACTGTAAATGAAAAACTGTTTTTATTGCAAATATCCTTCATATCTGTTGCTTTCACTAACTGTATAGATCAAGGATATCCTCCATAACTGTTGCTTTCACTAACTGTATAGATCAAGGATATCCTTCATAACTGTTGCTTTCACTAACTGTATAGATTAAGGATATCCCCCATAACTGTTGCTTTCACTAACTGTATAGATCAAGGATATCCCCCATAACTGTTGCTTTCACTAACTGTATAGATCAAGGATATCCCCCATAACTGTTGCTTTCACTAACTGTAT